ATGCCTCATGTTAACTAGATAGTGGCTTTATGCCTCATGTTAACCAGATAGTGGTTTTATGCCTCATGTTAACCAGATAGTGGTTTTATGCCTCATGTTAACCAGATAGTAGTTTTATGTCTCATACTAACCAGTTGACAACCAGAAGCCATTCTATGGGACGGGGAACCTGCTAACCAGCACAGGTGGGACATTCTGAAGCCATTCTAGGGGACTGATAACGCCTAATAATGTCCATTTCATGGACGATAACATCCGAAGCGGGTGGACGTTTGAACGTCCATGTACTTGTATATACTATAGCTGAAATGACAGTAAAACCCTTCTTGACTTGACTCTAACCATCAGGTAAAACTTAAGAGCTTTACTCACATAATGTTCTGAACTCAGAGAACCCATGAAAAAAAGAGCTCACCAAGTTCCGGAAAAACAAGAAGAGGAAATGTAAAATAACAAAGAAGACAACCCAGTAAGACAAGAATTGATGCTGAGTCCATTTGAAAAACGCCTCACTTCCTTTTGACTCCATCAACTAAAAGAAAAACAACGCTGACCTATCAGTGACCTATTCTTTCTGTTTTAAGGGAAATATAACGACCAGTCATTTTAAAGCATAAAAGTCCAGTCATCTGGAACAAACATGACCAGTAAATGTCTCAAAGAAAAGTTTGTCCACCTCTTTAAAACTTATTTGGATCACAATTAGGTTTTTTAAGATGGCATCTTGTCTCTAGGCTGTTGACATTTCACTGGAAGGCTGTGATTCATAATCAAACCCTATCAATGTAACGGTCATTACTGCCAACCTGAACCAAACACTTTACTCTGATCATCCACGGGAATGACTCAGTGTAATATACATAAAAACTGGACATGGTAGGTCTAACTCATCCTATCATCTTTTATTTCATTTTTAAGAGTTTGTTACTAAGACAACAATGTCAAAAGTGGATCATCAACAGTGAAGTCTCATTACATGACCAGATTCAGAACGTTTGTTTTTATGGGGTGAGATTTAAAAACAAGACAAGGAAACCTTCCTTTTGTTTTAGATCTTTTTGATTTTAAACTGTAGCATGTTGCATTACAGACATTTGTGAATTACCATGTTTAGAAATTTTTTTAATACAAAAAAACCACTAAATTAATAATGAAAGATGTGGCGTTCCTAAATCGTTTTGAATGGTGGTGGAGGGATGAAATAGAACACTGTAAATCCTTGCAGCTGTTTGAATTTATTATGAAATATGTTATCAATATATCATTTCAATGAACTGTCTGAAATATTACTCTAAAAAATTTTTTGAAACTCTTTTTTGAGCAGTAGCAACCAAAAACCCAATTTTGAGGAAAAACGCCCTATAAGGTTGAGATTTTTCCTGTAAACTATCAACGCTTTTATTTCTTTCCAGATGGGAAATCTCAGTGTTCAATTATTATATGAGGTTTATTTTTTCAAATGACAAAAATATCCTCATTAAAATGACATAAAATTAGGATTTAGACCAAATATTTGTGTATTATTGTAACCAACAAGACAAACTAAATACTGTCTCTAGATCTACTAATGATATATCAGGATGATCGAAGTATCAAAATGTAGCTTCTGAAAATGTTAGGTCATTTWGACCAAATTTGACTTAATCCTCATTTTGATGTGATGGGTCAAATATACAGAATGTAAGAACTTTAAAGCTGGAATCACACTACACAACTTTCATTGTTTTTTGTTACAGATTTTAAAGAAACTTAAGTCCTCACTCAGATTGGTTTCAGTAGATTTTGATGGATGAATGAAAGCCTGTGGTGGGGGTGTCACACACTGAATATCTGTCTTGATGAGGGATTGCACGTGGCCTGATTTGTCCAACCAACTAAATCCCACTGAACACATTGAACTGCAGTGAGGGCGACAGTCTGAGGAGCAAATAAATATGGACAACTCATTTCAGAAAATGAAACTTGTTCAGCAGAAACCTTGTGACGGTACCAGATTATTGATTTGATTGTTATTAATTGATTGAGTTGGGTGCCAGTCAGGTCTCCCTCCTGACATATGGGATGCTTTTTGACCAAATTGAAATGTTTAACTATTTTAAATATGGTTTAGAATTGTTAAATTTAACCGACCACACCAGGACAGGTAGATTACATAAAGAAAATGTAACTACAAACCCTGTCAACCTCAATTAAAATAATGCAAAACAATAAACAAACTTCCCTTTCACCCCCAGTTCCCATGAGTGGTGTTTAAAACCACTGAAATTCAAAAGTTCCAACTCAGCTTGACTTTACAAACAGGTGGACGGCTTGACTTCCACACAAAAATGAAGTTTGGCTTGGTTTTGCAAGCAAAAAAGGTTAGCTTGACAAAAAATGGTGGGTTGCAGGTCAAGGTGAAACTTGACAGGAAAAACAAAAACACTCCCACAACAAAACTACACCCATTCAAAAAAACAAAATAAAACTCCACTCAGGAGGTTTTTAAGTCGAATGTGCTTTACAGCAGCTGGTGTGTTTAAGGGTTTTGAAGGGTTTAGTTTGTTTTTGTTGAGAAGTTACTGCAGCAGGGAAACGATGAGACGTGACGAGGCTTTACGACGTCATTTCCAGCAGACTTTGTTCTGTTTTGGTTCGGCTTCAGCAATGCCTCCTTATACTCCACAACTGATAAAAAAGTTACCCTCGGAGGGATTAAACACCTCTTTAACGTGGGTTTTGGAGCTGCTGCAACTTGGGTCTGGCCGCAAGTGAACGAACACAACAACATTGTGCACATGGGCTGTTCTTTTAAAGGAGAAGTCACTGTGGCTAACACAGGTGACTGACCTCATTAATTAAAGTCAGAGGGTGAGAAACTCAGGTGCAAATAATGAAAACAAATGAGGGCAACTCCGGGTTGCCACAACCTAACCAGGAGTGCAGCCACAGTTGGTGTGTAGCTGTCCGTTGGTGCTTTGGGCAAGACTTCCAGGGTCCAACTTGACTGCCTGGAGCATACTGTGATGATCCATTCTCACCTGACTGTAATCATAGAAGAACTGCTGCCATTATAAAGCACAGGTATATGTTAGGGTTAGGTTAGGGTTAACCAGCGTGTTTCCTGGTTGTAAAAACAGCAGAGTGTGTGAGCTGTGTTGGATCAGCCATGTTAGAAGCTTAAAAACTAAAACAAAGTGAGAGGGAAGGCTGTCAGATGAACTAAGCAAGCTCATCTCCCAACGTTTCTTTTACACCTTGTCATAATGAGAGCACCAAGGTAACTACTGTACACATAATATAAAAAATGGTTACATTTTGTTTGTTGCATTTACCAAACATTTAGCTGCAGATGTTGATGAAGGTCGAGAGGCATCAACTCCGGAGGGAAGAGAATTGCTTGAATGCCTTTTCAAACATTATTTGAGCAGTAACTGTGATTAATCTTACTTGTATAAAAATAAAATTAAGGTTTTAGAAGGAGGCTGACTTTCCAGGAGCCCACAGAGAAGAAGGTAAGGTCCCAAAGGAGAATAGGCAGACAGGTAAGTCCCAGTTCAATATCCTCTTTTCACGTTTGTTCAGTGAGGAGTCAAGAGAGAGAAGCCAAAAAGAAGGAAGCATGAAATATTAAAAGTTTCACATCCAGACAAGAAAGTATATTTAATATATTTTTCTCTGAGTTAAACAGAGGGAAATGATTGGCTGAGTTGAAATAGATGGAAAAGCATAGTTCATAAATATTCAGTGTTTGGACAATTTTTTTTCTGTTGAAACCTGTTCCAATGCACAAGAAACAGGTTCTCAGCCAATCAATCAGACACCAACTTCATTTCTTATTGTGGGTTTTTTTTTTTCTTTACCACTTCCTCACTTCATTTATTTTTGTGGCAGACGCCACATATGGCTAGTCAGCATCATGTATTGGACACAGTGTGTGTGTGTGTGTGTGTGTGTACATTGTGTATTTGCCCACATATGGTTGCTTGGGTAGTAATGTGAATTCCAGCGTGTTTGTAACTTTACTTTGAAATCCAGTACCACCCCCCCCACAAACACACACACACACATACACACTCACAAGGTAAGCAGATGAAAATGTACCACATCACAGAAAAAATACTTTACCACAAACCTACATCTGCACACACACACACACACACACACACACACACACAAGACGTTTTAGTGTTTGTTTTATTTCATGGAACATTAACTTGCAGCACAACGCACACAGACACAACATATTGTTGCATAACGCCCTCTGCAGAGTGTCATTAATATAACTGCTGCGCATCGAGCAGGCTGCAGAAAAATATGATGGATTTTAAAGGGTAATCTGAGGAAACGCACTCAAACAGAAACTATTTTAAAAAGATTTAAAAAGTTGTTTCTGTTTAAGACGTCTAAACTTCTGGGAGCAACGATACATTTTATTATAGGTAGTGGAAAGTCGGTGCTGGTGGTTGTTTTGTATTAATTTATAGCTTTTGTGGGTTTTACAGATCTGGTTTTCAGCTGTTCTGCTTCCTTTCTTGGTTTTTATCTTTACTCAGAAAAGTTGTTTTAAAAAAGATGAAGAAGCAAAAACAAATTTTCTGTGAACATCTAAAACTAGAATATAGCTGTGGCAGCATTTTTTAAATATTTTTTTGGTCTCTTCTTGATTTCATTGACTCATGTCACCAAATGAGTCACATCCTCCTCGTTTGTGCGTCTTTTTTATCTCTTATTGATAATATTAGACCACTGCYGTTTAAACACAGAGTTTTTATGAGTTACGAGGAAGGGCGTAAATCAGTTCTTTTGATGTGCTCGCGCGCCTCTGTCTGCTTTTCTGTGTGCAGGATTAACACAGACATTCCTCAGGCTCACACACTGTCACTTAGACTCAAACTCATCCGGTGCACAAAGCCCTGGAATCTGTCCTCCCTGCCCTTTTTCTCCCCGCTCTCCGTCCCTCTTTCTCTCCCAGCCATCGTGTCTTTCACCGTCTCGTCTGTTTCCTTCACGCTGCCGCCTGCTCCTCTCCTCTGCTGCACTCCCATGCATGTGTTTGTCCTCTGTTTGTAACTGTGAGCTGCTTGTTTGGAACGCTTCTAACCGATACATAAATCAACCAGTTTCAACATTTCAAAGTTAAAAAGACTCATTTTGGACTGGATGTAGATAAATATTAAACAACAAGCAGTTTGGGATTCTTTAGCCCCCCCTAACCCATGTGTTTTGCAAAGTGGAAAAAGTTGAAAAAAATATTTTTTTTAATCTGGATTGGTGCCATCAGGAATTCCAGACGTATATTTTAAAGGTGGCACCAAACAATATACGAAAGGATTTCCCGGCACCACAGCAGCTGCTAGAGAAAAGTGGTCAGTTTGAAGGGAAATTAAAAAGATGAGCATTATTAAAAGGATTATTTCTGGAGACATGCCTGTTAGAATAAAGGTGGATCAGGAAGAATATAGGTGTAAATCTAGTTGTCAAAATGAATACAGGACAGTTTTTCTACACATTTTACTGACAAAAACGACGCAGCAGGTTTTAAACTCTAAGTAATATCAGTTGTTTCTATCAGCTGTCACCCAGGCTTTGTTTCAAAGACACTTCTGACCCAAAATGCCCCAGGTCTTTGCACTTGGCTGACCGAGTCATTCATCTTTGTGTGTGTCTGTGTGTGTCTTCATGCTGGTGGCTTTGTTGTAGCTGAAATGCTGCTGGGGTTTCGGCTCACTGTGGCTGCAGAGGATCAGGTTGAGTCCACGTGTTTGTTGTTCCCTAAAGCTGAAATTTGAGGACAGGAGTCGTACCTACAGAAAGCATCAGTGTATATTTTTACCAGTGTGTAAAAGACACAACTGGTGGTTTATTTTATTTTATTTTTTTAGGTTGGCACTGTGCCACGCATCAGGACATTGTTGTTTGTGCTTCAGAGATCCACCCTGACTTATAAATGTATTCAAATAAACAGTTTGTCCTGGTGGCATGGACCCTGCACACAAACAACGATGAACATTTTCAAACACACACTCAAATTGTTAGGTAGAAACTGCTTTTACTTTGAAGGATCACCACAGAACATCTGGTTCTTATTAATCATTATTAATGGACAGTATCTGTGCTGCACACAAATCTATGAACCAAATTTATTACATTTCCTAAACTTAAAAAATGTATTCCTCACTCAGCTGTTTTGTATGAGTGTAGTAAGAAATGCTTAAATTTTTTTAATACTGTAATATTGTGTTCCACATCATGATGTTACAGGTTCTACTTTCATCTCTGTTTTTATGCTGAACTTTATGTGAAGTTAATGTCTGATGTTTGATCCTGTTTGTATTTTTTATTTTTTCAGGCATCCAGTCCCAAACTCACGACTCAGTGCTCAGATATCCAAGAAGTCCGTCGCTGCACCCAACTGGAAATGCCCGACAAATTAAACACATTTGTTTTAAAGGTATCTTGAACAAAACATTTCTGTATGCATTTGTTTTTTTTATGTATTCTCTCATCATGCATCCACTAAAACAGGCTACATGACTTACAAAAGCAGTAAGAGACTACATTTGGTGTTACATTTGAAATCCTCTTTGTTTTCTGCAGGTTAATCGAGGTAGTTTGATATTTGAGACAGACAACGACCAGCAGGTCAGCTCCTGGACCACAGAGCTAAAAGAATGTGTCAACAACAGGTGAGGAAACACCTGAACACAAACTTATCTTTCATTTTATCGAAAACTTGATCTAATGAAGAAACTGAATCATTTGTGATGTTTTTACTCCTAAGTTAATTTGCTTGAGAGTTTTTAAATTATTAAAACAAGAAGCCAAGTTTAAAGCATTAAATCCTTTATTTGTTTGATTTTATAGTTTGGATGTGGAGTTTTATTAGTTTTAACATTTATTTGATATTTCTTACTAGACTTTTAGAACATTGGGCCTCATGCAAGAACATGTTCGTATTCTTATCCTAAATTTCTCTTACTTTTGTTCGTACGAAGGGTTCGTACGAACATGTCACGTCAGATTCAACAAACTCTTCTATCTTCAGGAAAAGTGTGTAAATGAGCTGCATAAATTCCACCTGTTCGTATCCNCACACACACACACACACACACACACACACACACACACACACACACACACACACAGAGCGCCTCCCACCCTGCTTTGCCTGATGGAATCAATTTCATCTGGAGCCTTCCAGTTGTTTGACTGTCTGCTCTTCCAGTCTTTCTGTAACTGTTCTGGCCCACATGGAGAATCAACCCAAAGGAACTAAAAGGTTGGACCTCACTACCAGTTCATTTCAATAGTTAATATAAATACCATCACTCAAACAACTAAATGATTATATACGGTACTCTCATAAACAGCTTGAAAGTCTAATAATATCTGCTGAAAAGTACAGGGGACTGTGTCAGAAAAGTAAATTTGTCTAATCCAGGATGAAAGAAGAAAAACTATTCTTGCCCAAGACTTGTTAGAGCATCTTGGCTTAATGACCATCACTAACTCCTGATCACTGAAAGGAGAAGTGTTGAAGTAATCCTGATTAGTACCACCCACTGTTTCCTTTCATACAGCATGAGGTAGATGACAGATTGATGCTGCCGTGAAGTAGACAGTTTTCAGCTTGTTTTAAATGATCAACAGATAACACAGAAGTTTTTTCCTGATCATTTAAAGAATATAAAATGACAGTGAAAACCTTGAACTTCAGTTTTATATTAGGAGTTAAGTGTTTTGTGTACTTTTTACTGAGGTGTTTTCATACAATTCAGCTTCTTCGAATGTTCACCTGTATAATGAGCCTCAAAAATCTGTAAATTTCACAAAAAATCTGTGGAGATGACAGCGCCTGCAGCGCGAAGTAGGAGGAACGAGGATGGGAGAACTTATTTCTGGTGGCAGAGCTGGTTGGAAGATGGGGGGCGGCTGTGGCAGAGTGGTTAGGGGAGTCCTGGAACCGGAAGGTCGCCGGCTCGATCCCCCATCCAGCTGTCTCACTTGCTGTGTCCTTGGGCAAGACACCTCAGCCCTAATGCCTCTGATGTGTCCCATCAGTGTATAAATGTGATTGGCACTGATTAGTCGCCACAGATGATTGTACATGTTAGCTTTGTAGAGACCTAACAGAGTGCTGTGTGAATGGGTAAATGAGGACACAGATTGTAGTGTGAAGAGCTTTGAGTGTCCTGGATGGATAGAAAGGTGCTGTTTATGTACAGTCCGTTTACCATTTAATGTTATTTATCATACCAGTAGATACTCGTATCTTGTAATCTGTAAAACATCCATTTCATTGTTCTATACCTGCAAAATAACGGAAAATGCATGTAAATTACAGACAATGTGTGTTTGTCGATGCTATTAGCAGAATATTTTGTGAATCACTTGTACATTAAATGACAATTAATCTAACAGTCATGTTTTTTGACTCGAATGGTTGTTTGTCTCGTTTGTTTCTATGTGTGTCCCTGTGATGGACTTGCGACCTGTCCAGGGTGTACCCCGCCCCTCGCACTGTGACTGCTGGACCAGTGACCCCCGTGACCCTGAAAGGAAGAAGTGTGTACAGAAAATGGATGGATTAAAAGAAAATTTCAGAAAATAAACCTTTGATTGACATATACGACATAACTGTTAAAATAAACCCCATTCAACATGGATTCTACTGGAAGACTAACTTAGAAAACTCAAAATGAAACAATTCAGATAATTTTACAGATATTGAGCTAAACTGTGGGAAATTGAAACTGAACGTAAATTTTCAGCAACTGATGACGCAAGATTTTTGTCTTAAGGGTGTATTCATACCAGCCCTTTAATCGAACTCTAGTCGTTTGCCTAAAACATCCGGTTCGTTTGGGGAGGTCCGAACACGTAATCGAACCATGATTTGGACCAAAAACGTGAACTCTGGTCTGCCTGAAAACCTACGTCTCGGTTCAGTTGAAGTGATTTCTGCTGCAGTTTGATTGCATGTGTGAACGCCAAGTGGATCAGAGACCAATCCAAAAGTAGGAAGCAGACTATAACACAGGGCATTCTGGGTAATAACATAATAAAGTTACTCATATCTTGTAAATACCATGCTGGACATCTATAGAAGGTGGACATCACTGATGTGAAGTTGGACAGGCTCCTACTCTGTGAACCCTGCCTCACATGGAGCCTTCTCAGCCACCTTGTGTAGAAAAACAATAATCTCCATGGTTCCGCCTCACCTTCCACTCATGTTGAGCTCATTGGCTGTGTCTCAATTCATGGGTTGCATTATGTCGACCACTGACGTCACTCCCCAGCGCCGTAGGCTGTCCCAATTCGATGGTGCCTACAAATGTGGCCGACGTTTTTGAGTTTTTGTCAGCTGCATCTGAGTGGTCTACGCGGCCGACGGTATCCCAGAATGCAGGGAAATTTTCAGCAAATCAAAGATGGTGGATAAACTATCGACCAAAGATTTGTCTTAAATGTATGTTTTTTTAACCTTGCTAATGCATTAATATGATAAATAGCATACCGAATGTAAAAGAAGTTTATCATATTGTATATTTAAGTGTTACAGTTTTAAAAATAGTAAAGTTTTCCCTTCCTTGAAATTACGTTTTTTCCAACGAATTGAACTTGTGTAAATTTATATTGGTGATGATATAACAATAATCTCCCGTATTTTATATATATACTGTATATATACATACATACTGTATATCAGTATTATGTCACTTATTTTAGTGACATTTAAACGTAACAAGTACAACAAGTAGTTACATTTAAATGTAACTAAAACGAGTTAGGCCTATTACTTACATTCAAGATCAATTTTCTAACACTAGTTGATAAAGTAAATATACATGTTTTCAAATGCCAAATTACCATTTACTATTCTGAAATGATTTGATAAAGTGAAGTTACATTTGAGTAAATTTTTTATGCTTTTTTGAGATAAATAAATGCACCAAACATCAGTAACTATGATGTTTGCAGCTAGATTACATTGAAGGTAAGCTTTAATGTGTTAATGTATAGTGAAATAAATCAAGTCTAAACATTTCATACCTTGTTGCAGTCTGCTGTCCGCCTAAAATACATGAAAGCCTTGCGAAGTCGAAGAAAAGGCCATTAGCTCTCCGAGAAAAGAAATAAATGGCCATCGCTTTTTCAGGCTCCATTTTCCCGCTGAATTGGAGACCAAGCACCATGGTAATGACGCGGAGCATGTCCACACAAACTATGTCTTCTGTAGGCTAGACCGTCCCAATTCACAGCCGTTTATGCAGCCGACACGAGCAGTCTACGGCCCGCGTCGACTGTAGCCGATGTCGGCCACGATCGACGTTGGCTGCAACCCACGAGTTGAGACAGCCATTGATAAAGACTTTTTCTTTGGCTCATTTACCAAAAGCAAAAAAAACTAGAACTGCAAAGCAGTTATGACTGGGGTCCAAGCCCTTTTATGCATGTCAGCCTTTGTCATGTTGTTTGTAGCATATTGTTGATCTTATAGCTTCTTGGACAAATTTCTCTCCAACAAACGCAG